TTGCTGCAGAGGTTATAGAGAGGAGGGTCCAGAGGATTGATTTTCAGAGGGAGAAGTATGGGAATGATGAGTTGGAAGTATGTACATGATGGTGGGAGAGAAGAGGAGGGAGACAGTCATCATGGTCATGTTCCTCAACCAGGAGCAGAGGTGGGGATATTTGTGCCAGACCCTGGTGAATGGTAGGTCTCTACTCCCTGTGGTGTTTTGTTTTTGTTCTCCTGGAAATTGGGCATGGAAGTGTCCTCAAGTAAAAGGTTAGAAAAGCGTCAGTAGGCCCCTGAGACTGAGGGCAGTTTGACGGCAGGTTCAGGGTGTGGCGCCTTTAGCATTACTGTAGTCCTCTGCAGGAGCAAGTGTGGAGTGTACGGAGTGGTTAAGTTAGGTTTCCCTTTGTGAATGCAAAGAGCAGGCCCAAGGGCATTGAGGTATGATTGTGATGCTAGTCTCTAGATACAAAACTGACCTTGGAATCTGAATGTGTTCAGGGCTCTGAAAGCTTTCCATAAGAAAACAGTAGTGCCATTACTGCCTTTGTCTTCATGTTACTGCTCATGGGCATCCTTGTATAACACAGAGGATGGCAGAGAACAGACTTGCAGTCTTTGGAGAGTTGATTGGCCTCAATCAGTCATGCACTGTAATATCTGAACCTGTGTTCACTACATCTTGATGAAACTCACATAGTAAAATCATTTTCCCATTGCAGTACTTCACAGTCAGCACCCTCCTGCATTTCTGTAACACCACAAATCCAGTGGTATGTGGTGGAGGGGTACAGGTGGGTTTTCCACCCTGAAGAGCAGTTGTTCTGGTAGTTTTTGCGAGCCTTTTGATGTTCTGTGGGGTCTGAGGCACACTGAGGCCATTTGTCCCCCACCAGCTAGCTCCTCAGGGTTGTAGAGGGTGAAAGCCTTTTTTTCTTTTTGCACCAGGAATCAAACTCACAACCTGTGCTTGCCAGGCAGGCGCTTTGCCACTGTGGTATATCCCCACCCGTGAAAGGTTTTTGATCATTGTGTCCTGTGTCCCTCCAACGTCCAGATGACCAGGCATGTACGTGGACAAGTGCCTCACATGCTAGAAGGGAAGCAGTGGGCTCTCTGTAAGGGAAGGCCATGTCCTAGAGGGTTATGATAATAACACATTCTGAAGTTTTAAAAGTGACTTTTGACTTCCAGTTTGTTCTCACCCAAGTGTGGAACTTGTGGCTATCTTTCTGCTGCCAGTCTGTTACTCCCATCTCAGCCTCCTTCAGTAGTAGCAGGTTCAGGCATAGCTTGCTTTAACACATTCATGACAGAGTCTTGCTGCTGGCTGACTTGAACTTCCAGTGGTACATGCGTGACTGTCTCATCAGGCACCTTTTTATTAGTTTTATTAGTAAAAAAGACTGATGAAAGTGATTAGATCCATTTGTATCACCAGTGGTACAAGCCATTAGTTTTTGCTAATGTAATATTTGAGGGTAAAATTTTTATATTTGAATAAAATTCTGACTGTAGTTTTTCTAATTATTCTAGTGAATAAGGTTTGTGTTACATGTATTACCTTAATATTTACCTTTGTGATATTTCAAAAATTAAAAACCTGCAAAATTATTTTTATACATCTAATTATATAATGAGTACTATTGGGACATTAGCTGTTGTTATTTATAAACGTGATAAACAGCATCTTAGATCCAGAAAGAAACTGGAAAGTTAGATTATTAAAACCTGAGGGAGGTCATTCTTCATGAAATTTAAATGTGGTACATTTCTCTCAGATTTCTTTAAAATTATTGATGCACTTACAGATATTCTAAACTTATATTGATAATTGTGTATCATGTTGTTAATAAAAGAGAATGACCAGATTTTGAGAAAGCAGAGTGTTGACGGGTGGTATTAAAAGAATGAAGTTACTTTACTGTAAAATTTAAACTAAATTGTATTGAACTGAATGTCATCTTTCAGTATTTTCTGAAGAAGGCTCTTACTGATACAGTGAAGTTAGCCCTGTAACTAAATATATTGTTTTGATGTACTCTGAAGTCACTGTAGGAACCCTTGTCTCTGGACCAGTTATCTGTGTGCTTATTACAGAAGCTTGTTTGTAGTTTCAACATGATGACTGCTAGCAGCATAGTTTTAGCAATTGGAATGATATTATGTACCCAAAAACTGCCTGTATTTTATTAAAAAGAAGGTGAACATTGCTGTTTTTGTCACCATAGTGAAGGCTTCACAGGCAGCAATTTTGTCTCTGTTGCATGTTCTCACAGCATGACTTGGCACACAGTAGGTGCTTAGTAAGTACTTCTTGAATGAATATTTGTGCATTGTGGAGTTAATCAGTTATTTAGACTGAACCTCTGTGTCATTCCTGACAGGTGATAACTAGAAAGTAGAGTAACCAAGTGAGGGTATTTTGGGGGTAGGGGTACCAGGAATTGAACTCAGGACCATGGGCTTGCCAGGCAGCAACTTGTGCTGCAGAGCTATATCCCTGGCCCCAAGTGAGGGTGTTGAGGTAGTGTACATGTTATATATCAAAAATTTTATTTTTCTGGGGAATAGTTGATTTTTAAATCCTGAAAGAGAAATGTGTGATAAAAATTTCATTTTTCCTTTGATTACTTTTTTGTCATAGAGCCTATTCGTCTGAGCGCCATCAAGGAATACTAAAAAAATCTGCTTCATTTAGACATGACATGTTTTTCAGGTATCTAAATTGTTCAAATACAGGCATGAGTGACTTCTTTAAATTTTGAGAAGCACATAGGGTAGGAAGGCAAACAGATTATCTACTTTGTCTGGTCCTAGAATGCCTATTTATTTAGGCTTTCTGGCTACAAAGGGTGGAGACTTGTTTTATCTGTTAGAAATTTGGCTTTGTACAAATGGTTTGGAAAATGACAGCCAGGAAGACATCTGTAAGTCATTGTTTTGAACATAAAGAATGCAGTTGTATTATGTTCTGCTTTGCTCTGTGCAGTGTCCTGTGCAGCTTCATCAGTGGGTTCTAGTTTGGTTCCTGGGAGCTCACTTTGGTTACTAACTCCAGACAGTGCTCCATTTAAAAGTCCAGATCAATTGGACGATCTAAACATTGTATGTGACCTTTTATATTAATACTGGAATATACCTGAATAGTTGACTGGCCAAAGTAATAAAAGTCCCAATGATACCTTCAGAGGTACTCTTTTTAAAAATAGATTCTCAGGGGTGGGGATGTTGCTCAGCTCAGCAGCATAGCACCTGCCTGGCAAACATGAGGAGCTGAGTTTGACTCCTGGTACCAAAAAAAAAAACATTTTCTGTACCATGAACAAGTAAGCGTATGTTCTAAGGAGTGCGATGCCCATTTCTACCTAGGGAATGCGTGTTTTCTGTAAACACACTGATCTGTTCTTCAGATATAAAAACCTTATTTTGTAAGAATCTACAGTAAAAAAAATAAAAAATGGAAACTCAGTTTTTGATGTGGTGCCAGAAAAGCACACTGCATTAGCATTTCATGGTCTAGCATTTTCCACATCATATATTTTTTTTCTTAGCCGTGAAATTTCGGCAGATTGTTATGCAAAACAGTTTTGTGTCTCTGTGTGACTGGGAAGACAGCTGTTAGTCCTAATGAGGAGTGCTAGCATTACAGTATTTCCATTGATTGAGACCCTCGGAGGGAGCAGAATGTTCCAGATCAGGCAGTGGTGTGTGGTGAGAAGGTACCATACTGTCAGCTGGAAGTACATGCTCGGCTGCTCTCCATGACAAGATAAATGAGTTTTGCTGGAGTTTGGCAGAGTCTGAAGCTTTTCCAGTGAGCAGTTGCAGCTCACCAGCCTCCCTGTGGGATCCGTGTCTAAGGGTGCCTTTAAAACTACTGCCTCTTTGCCAGTTTTTTTCTTTTGATGTCCTACAATACCTGTCAAGATTGTGATTTATTAAAAACCTAATGTCTTTTAGCATTTCATTAACATAGGGTTAGAGGATCTTTTGTTGAGCCCCCCTCCCATTAATTTAGCAGAATGCTAGCTGAAATTTAACTTGGCCAAAACCTCCAAAAAGAAGTAAGTAGGCATCTTTACCTTTACCTTTCAAAGATCTGTTTTAGTGCTGGTGTTGTAACTGACTGATACTGTAAAGAGCTATTAAAAAGTATTACAGACCTAGCCATGTATTTTTTTGAAAACAAATGGGTCATTGGATTGGTTTTTATGGATGTACCCTCTCAACCCCTTTCCTTCTTTATTGCATATTGCTGTGTGCAGAATTGTATCTTCTTTTATGCCCCTTTAGGTGTTGTACACTGTTTTCCAAACAGGGAGGATTTGCCTTCCTGGAGACACTATTGGTTGTCACATGAGGGGAGGGGCATGCAGTGGTATCTGATGTTTTTTGATTTTGTTTTTTGGGAATAGTGATCATAATGGATGTGTAATCGTATCGCATGTTTTTATTTGTATTTCCCTTATGATTAGTGATAATTTAGTATCTTTTCATGTGCTTTTTGGCCGTATATGTATCTTCTTTGGAAAAATGTCTCTTGAAATCCTTTGTCATCTTTAAATTGTTGTCATCAGAGTGCTTTTTTTCTAGCTCCTGTATTCTGATTAAATTAGTTGAGAATTGCAGGTTTTGTTTTCTTTTAGATTCTCTGTCATCAAACCCATAGAAATTGACAGACTTTGTCTAGTCCATAATTTTCTGGTAACCTTTCTTTGCTTCATTGGCTAGAGATAGTGAACTAGAGTGGTAATAGACTGTATTTTTCTACTCTGCTGAGGAATCACATATCCTTATTTAGCACACTTACTGGGGAGAATTTTAAGAGGTAGGAGCAGGGTGCAGGGTAGTAGAAGACCGCTGTCAGCTTGCACATCTCCATTCTCCTTCCTAACCCTCCCCCTTACCATCTCTGGAAGCAGAACTGTGTTTAGCATGCAGCACGAGAAGTGTTAGAGCATCCTGCAGTCTTACTTTTAAGGTGTCTGACCTTACACCCTTTGCTTGTAGCACTGTGACCTCAGCCGTGTTCACCGTGGGAGACAATGTTGTTTCAGGCAGTGATGACCGCACAGTAAAAGTCTGGGATTTAAAAAATATGAGATCTCCAATTGCAACCATTCGCACAGACTCTGCTATTAACAGGTAAGGGTTGATTGTAATGTTATTGCTTTATTATAGAGATCTAGTATTTAGTTGATATGACCTTGGGAGGATGATTTGGACTTTGTGAATATATTTTATTGACCTTCTAGTTAAATTCAGTATCCTAGAAATTCTCAGACATACTCAGTATAAAATTAGGTTGGTGTAGTTAGATTTATAAGAATAAGATGTCCTTGAAATGTGAATATGGCATATCCTACTGTGTCATTGGTACATTCAAACATTTATGTTGCTAACATTTTATACATAGCCCATTTTTATCTCCTCTTTGCAGGATCAATGTGTGTGTTGGCCAAAAAATCATAGCCCTTCCCCATGACAACCGACAAGTGCGATTGTTTGATATGTCAGGAGTACGACTAGCACGGCTTCCCCGGAGCAGTCGACAGGTAACAGTAAATACGTGTTCACAAAACATGTTAGAGGAGAACTTGGTATTTCACACCTTAAATTATTGTTGTCTAGCAAAAATCACATATGTGATGTTTAGTTTTCTAGTAACTACATTTAAAAAGGAGAGAAGTCAGTTTTAACATATATTTTATTTTACCAGGTATACACCAAATAATATAGTTTTAATATGTAATCGGTGTAAAAATGTTAGAAATATTTTACATTCATACCTCCTTACGAGTTTTGGGGTACTAAATTTTCATTTGAAATATTTGATCTGTTTTTAGAGTTTGCAAAATTCAAAGTTGAAAAAAGTAGAGTCACCATATTCAGGTTGTTCCAGACTAGTATTTCAGTACCCTGAGTATCAGTGTTCGAGTTTAAAATTAGATATGATCAAATGTTCATTTCCCTGTTTCCTCAGGCATGATTGATGAGCTTATTAGCACATGTGTTAGTCGCTGCGGTATTGGAAAGCAAAACCTTACTTTTTTTCAGTTAAGTTTATACAGGGTGGGACTGTGTGAAATAACATGTAACTGGTGTAGTCAGGCAGGAGCAGTGTTCATCACAGTGGGAGTGGGAGCTGCTGAAGGTGGGATCCTTGCCTTTGCCTTCAACCAAAAAACCATCTTGTCCTGAGAAGAAGAAATTATGTTTTAAACGTTACTGTTCTGGACTCACAACCAGAAACAAACCAAATGGTACCGACCGACAAACACCAAGACAAACACCAAGACGCACGGACCGCCAGTTGGAATTTAAGACGAGCCTTTATTCCTGGCCAGGGACTGACTGAGAGCCTCCATGCAGGGAAGGATCAGACCAGTCCCGATCCAGGGACGAGAGCGGTTTTTAAACCCTGAAACGCCATCCTGTTTGGCAAACACATGTCACATCAGTAACAGTGAGGGGATTTTTTTATTGCAGGAACAGTACATTCCTAGAATCTGGGAGGGGTAGAGCATTTACTGGAAGAACAGTACATTTTGGGAGTCCAGGAAGAGCAGGGCATTTACCATTAGTTTACAACCACACATTCCAGAAAGGGTAAACATGAAGATTTAACCCCACGGCAGGGTTGGGAACTGGGAATTAAACTAGAACCTTTGATGTTGGTGGTGGGGCTTTTACAGTTACTTTTGTATAAATTAAGGGATTGCTTCCTGCTGAGTTCAGATGTGATACAGGGGAGTTAGCTGGGTGTTTTCCTTTGTGGTTGAGACTTCGGGATACATCAGCCCAACCAAGTCAGAATTTCCTATGGAGACACTAGTAGCTTGCATTTAGGTGATTCCCTAGGCCATTCTGTGTTCTTTGAAGTTGGGGCCAGAGTCTTTAGCATAGATGTTAGCTCATTTCTGTTAGTAGGTAATGGAGGTAGCTTGTCAGAGCAGCATTTCTTCAGGCTCTTGTGTAATTGCGTCCCTTAGCCAGTCACTCTCATTTTGTTTTCATTTGATATCTTCTGAATATTTTTGTGATATCTTTGTGGTGAATAAGCCAGTTCATTCTGTTAATGAATCTGTTCCTGATCCTTTCAGTCCACTTGCCTATGTCTGCGTGCACACACACCTCTAGACATTGCCAAGTATCTAGTACAACATTACCCAGGATTGCTGCCTTCTGGCTACTCTTCTTTTGATATTCATCACTGTTGATACTAGTCTTTTTTTATGGTATGAGCTACAAGCCAGATCTGTACCTCAAAAACTATAGACTAAGAGCAGTTACAGGGATAGATTGTAAAGTGGAGATTTGCTATTAGTATAGCAATACCTTTTCTTTATGTGTGAGGCAGTTTCTGAAAAGTATCTATGCCCTTATGCAGAGGTGTTTCAGCCATTTTTCTTTTTTATAGCTCTTATGTGTACTGTTTGAAGTTAATTACTGATTTTTTAAAATCAGTTTCTTATAAAACTAGAGTACATACTTACAAACCTTTGCAACTTCTAGGAAATCCATGAATTGCATATTCAGGACTTGTTAAGAATGTTTTGTTGACTGCTAAGTATCACTGACATCACCTAAACAGCATCTTTAACACAGCAAAGTGTTCTCTTTTATGTGTATTTTAAGATTGCTCTGCAACATGCAAAGTTTGCATTTGAAGCAAATTTATGACAGAGTATGGCTTCATTACTTTGAGAATCTTTTCCTTCAAGAAAGTTAGGAGTTCTTTAAAAAAAAAGAAATTTAGGAGTTCTGAATAATCCAGTCCTTTAAATCCATATGGTCAATTTCATTTTAAATTACCTGTAAACATTCAGTTTTTCTGGAATTGTAGAATTCTTTGTGCTTGGATTTATTCTCTCCTAAAGTGATATATGAAATAGATTTGTTTTTAAGATTAACAAATATCATTTAACTTCATTTTGAACTTACAACATTTCTTGAAGTAAGTAAATGTAATTTCTGTGTCAGAGAACCACAGGAATCACTGGCTTATTTTGTAACTGCTTTCAGCTGACTTATTTTAAAAAGAGAAAAAAACACTTATGGAACTTTTAAGAAGTACAGGAGAAGGGGCCTAATAATCTAAAATTGTTTCACTTTGAGGATAGTAAAAGGAACATTTCCCAAAAGTATGTTTCAGGGAAGGAAACTCTGGTCTATTAGGAGGAATTCCAGGGTAGGAATGTACTGAAGTGCAGTTGATTTTGAAATGTAGCTTTGTAGCTGAGTAAACAGGATTCTGTACTGTGAGTGTCCTGAGTGTATGTTGTGACTGTCTGTGGAGGGGATGAAGCATCTTTACAGTGTATTTGTTTTTGGATCCTTTTCTGGATGGGTGATGTTGCTGTGAGCACATAAAATGTAGAAATCTCCAACTTTGCCTGGCAGGTGTCAGCTTTTCAAACCAGGGGGTACAGCTGAAAGTTTTCTTTCTGTGTGGTGCTTTCCCCTTTATTGTCAAGTACATGGATGCCTTGCATTTGTTTTCATTTTTATTTTTTTTCAGTGCTGGGGATTGAACCCCTGCTAGGCAAGGTTCTACTACTGAGCTGGATCCGTAGGCCCTTTTTGTTTTTGAGATGGTCTTACTAAGTTACCCAGGCCAGCCTTGAATTTGGCAGTCCTCTTATATCACCCTCCTAAATAATTGGGATTACAGGCATGTGCCACCATACCTGGCTTTCATTTATCTTTAAATAGTTTTTGTGCAAAAGCTTGACTTATTCTCTCTCCCAAGAGGTAATAGAAGGTACTTTTTGTGTGGTCTTTTCTTTTTTCACAGTTACTTTATTTTTGTGGCCTATCACAGTTCTCTCCCCAGATATATAAACAGCATTATTTATATGTAACTGCTTTGCAGAGGAGAATTTTGTGTCAGTCTTTGAATGTTTCTTTAACTTAATAAATCTGTCAGTGTTAGTTAGTAGTAATTTTTGTATTTTATTGTGTGATATAACTACATACTAGCCATTTTAACTTAGAAAATACAGGTGACTCCTTAAGTATCACCTGTAGACATACTAAATACTGGGCATTATTTTAAGTGCTTGCATCTATAAATCAGAACACTAATGTGTCACACTGCAGGCTATGTGAAATACTTTACAGTAATTTTCCCAGCATTATGATATTTAACTGGAATTCCTAAAGATGTCCGGAATATTTCTGAAAGGGTTTTTGTTTGGTAGCACGTGTATTTTTCCAGCTCCTTTATTAACTCAACCAATTAGTTGTACAATAGTATTTGAAGTCTTTGAGTGAATTGCATTTAACTTATCTTATAATATTCTCTTGTCCCGTTTATTCATTTAAAAATTTCAAATTAATGAGTTATTTTTGTGTTTCACTATAGTCTTTATTTGCCTAGAGAAAGATTCACAAACTGTGTCCTGATGTCACACATGTCATGGTAACTGGACTAGCACATCACTGAAAGCCTATTGCTGTGCTCAGTTTTTTGGCTCATTTGGACTTGCTGTGTATGTGTGTATATGTGTGTGCTTCTCCCTTCTATTGTAATCATTTTGAATGGTGTTGCTGTTAATTTAGCTGCAGTTTGATAAATCTTATTCCCGTAATGATGCACTAATTTTGGTTTGTTTGATTTATTGATAGGGCCACAGAAGAATGGTGTGCTGCTCAGCGTGGAGTGAAGATCACCCCATATGCAACCTGTTCACCTGTGGGTTTGATAGGCAAGCCATTGGTTGGAACATCAACATTCCTGCATTGTTACAAGAGAAATAAGGTTGCCATTGTTCCTTAATTTTGTAGTTTGCCATGGACTTTTGATTCATGCAGGCTTTTCTGCATATTAATCAGCCATTTTTGTGAGAGTTTGACCCTGGGAAGGGTGCTTTATATATGTTATTTTCACATTGTGCCCAGCTTGCATGAAATGTACAGAAAAATGTGTGATCATATTTTTTATTTTTGTCTCATGTATATATATTGGCATCCTCTGGTCAGTAGAAGTGAAGCTCACCTCCCATGTAGCACATACAGTGCTTGTAAGTTGTTGACATTTGAGAGAAAAACAGTAGGGCATTACATTTGTGTGAATTAAATGTGAACCTGTGTACTTATTGTGAGGCATAAACGGTCTGTTGCATTTTCTGGAATAATTATACACACCTACCTTGTACTGGGAAGATTGCAGAACTGCATTTGCGTTAGCTAGTGAGTGGCAGGAATCATCAAAGATTTCACGTTTACTTCTGTATGACATTTTAGCATGTGCTGTTGTATAATTCAGTTTTAACTTTTTAATTTCTGTTGTAGTTCTGTAAAAATAACCTGGATTTGCAACATTCAGTTTGTTTCGAAAATGTTTCTCCTGTTTTTATAGAAAATCATTTCAATCTCCTGAGGTCTCATACTATCAAATTCTACAATATAATGATTCTAATCACCGGTTTTAGATACAAAGCAAAATTTAAAGCACTTTAGTTTATAGCTGTGGTTATAAACAGTTTTTAGAAGTTTCAAATGATATCCATTGAATGTGACTTGACCTTTATAAGAAGGCCCTGCTACCTGAATGCAAATTCTTATTTATTTTTTACATCTTTGGTTTGCATATTTCTAAATGGGTTCACTTCCTTGGTGGTATTTGAGAGCCAACAATGCAAATAAATGAGTACTACCTCAAAAATAAATATTTGGAAAACCTTGGAGTCTCACTGTTACATAGCTAAAGCACTTTTGATTTATAGCTGGAATACTGAATTCAATTTAGAAGGCAAGAAAGACAATCATACCAAATGTACCCTGAAGGTAAAAGGTTCTTCAATTAGGCTAATAAGATGATTACCATAACATCTAGTTCACAGTTAACAAGATACTTTTGTCTTGAGTAGCTGGGATACCTCTCAGTGCCAATCCTCCTATTGTGCAAGTGAGCCTGTTATTCTTGTCTTCTTAGAAATTACCATTCATCTGATACTTGTAAGTTAATGTTTCTTGTTGAGTTACAGTTTTAGTAAAGAGACATCTCACTTGCTGCCCCTCATATTTGTATTGTAACCCTTTATATATGGCCACTTGGAGGCTGGTCACGTGAAGAGGCACAGGAAGGAGGGTAATATTTAAAACTATCCAGGTGGCACACTCCCTACCCCTCCCACTTCTTGTGCTTGCCGTTGTTTGCTGGTGACCTAGAGGGCGACACAGTTGGTAACTGGTTGGTAGCCACCAGATAAGGTGTAGTACTGTAGTACATAGGACATTTGAGTGTTCTTTGATGGAACAAGGACAAGAGTGAGAAATGCTTCATTATTGGCATATTTTGTAAGGGTCCCACAGGAATTGATCTTAAGAACTTCAAATATGAATCATTCAGAATGATTCTGAAATGACTGGTGTAGGCAGGAAGGAGGGTCCCAGGAATAACCAATAATGATGTAGTATAGAATTGAGGTTGCTAACCAAGGGACAAACCATGAATGTTTTAGAGTAATTGTATTTTGTAAATTCAAAAATTTATTGTTTTTAAAGTCCAGCATTTTCTGATCATTAGTTCTGACCACAGTGTTTTTTGAATACTGAAGTCAATCTAGTCACTGTGGTTGATTAGAATTTCAAGTCTCAGCTCCTGCTATCCTGAGTGTATTTTGCTTGTACTGTATCAAGGTCTGTGCTGTGTCCTAATTTTACCTTAAAGTGAGGGATGACTGCCACGTCCCCTTTCACTTCACTGCATATGCAAAGGCAGGAACATAGATGACTTCTAATGATGAGCTGCACAAGCTGTGTTCTTGGGTTCCTTATATTTTAATTTGGAAGTGTAGATGTCTTAGGATGACAGGAACGTTGAAGAATATATACAGATAGCTAAATCAAAAATGGCTAATTTCTGCCAGATGAAAATATTTGGAAGCTTTTTAAAGTACGTGTTTATGATAGCCATTTAGTTCTTTGCAGAGTAGTGACCTTCACTGCCAATAGCTGCTCATCTTCTCTTGCTAATTGGAGGGACCAGCCTGTGATACCAGAATTGAGGCTCTGCATTCATTTCTATGAGTGTGGAAGACCCTAACGGTGCTTAAGCAGAGTTCTCAGGAGCAGGATGTGACTTGCTGTTAACTACTGTGTCATCTTGGGGCTGGGGATTTAGCTCAGCGGCAAAAGCGCCTGCCTGGCAAGCGCAAGGTCGTGAGTTTGGTTCCCGGTACCGGAGAAAAACAAAAACAAAACAAAACAAAAAAACTACTGTGTCATCTTCTAACGTGATTTTATCTCACTGCTGCTGTGGCCCTAGGTATTATTGTTTTCAAGGGATTAGGAACAGTGCATGCATGCTAATGCATGCGTGTGTGCGAGTGTGTGTTTGTGTGCATGTGGCTAAAATTAAGTCATGTTACCAGCCACATGTGATCTCATCTGAAATAGTGTTTGGAAGTAGGAACACTATTATGTGCTGACATGTCCAGAATTTCATTTAATGAAGGAAAATGTGTGAATTTAAAAATGTATGTTGATACAAAACTTCATAAGAGGATTTGTTGTTAGACCAAACAGGACTTTTTCTCAAACACTGCACACCAGTTTCTGTAAAGTGTTCTGTACGTATTTTTGATCTGAAGACTATGTAAATCATTTGTTAGTTAAATCTGTGAAAACCAATTTGGAGGAAAAAGTACGCATTTATAAGTGTCCTGTGGAATCAGTTATTTTTATTGTATTGATATAATTGTTTTTAAGTGTTCAATGTCTTCATTGCAATATGAAATTCATTAAAACATCCATGTTCCATAATTACTATTATAAAAGTTTTATGTTGTTGAGTCTTATTATTTTTACTTTCTTCATGTTTGCTCTGTGAAACATTGTTAATAGTTATTTAAAACCACAGTTTGCTAGGAGCTGATCAAATTATAATACTGCCCCCTTGAGAAATTTCAATTTTAGACTTGAAGCCCAAAGTATATTTCGTATGCGTCTCTTACACTAAAGCTAAATGATACATAAATATGCTTGTTTGTTCCCCATCATTACCACAAAACCTGAGATGATAAACAACTTGACCTAATGGAAGATTTTGGTGAAGTTTCTCAGAGTATCAGAAAATGCTTTTACTGTTCTTATTACGTTTGTTTGGAAGTTGAAAACATTATAGGAAGTTAGCACCATTTTCTGTGGGAGAATTCTGTGTGAGAATGCAAATCAAGATTGACAGTGACTACTTGTATACTGTTATATTCAAAATCAAGTTAGTGAAGTGCTGTGGTTATAGAAACCTAAATACTACGGGTTACTTCCTTGCTTGTTGGTGGCTCCTTTGTCAGACTTGTAAGGGTCACTACCTACATTGCATAGGTATTGGAAGTAACATTCAGATCCCCAGAGGTAGAAATTTTTCCCCTATTTAACTTTCTTACCTTACTCCCTAGATAGTATGTAATTTTCTAAATTTCATAATTACATCTTTAGTTAATTTAATAGTTGATGTTAGTATAAAGAATCAAGATGACGTATTGCTACCGTATGTCATCAAAATGCTATTAAAACATCTCTAGCATTCATAGATGTTTTTCCCTAGTCATTTAGAATTTAAAAAAAAAATAAAAATTGAGAACACTGATCAACACATTATTCTTCATACTGTGGTGGGAAGAAGCTAAAATACCTTCTTTTGAGCAGTTTTTAATAAAAACAAAAATAGATCAAACAGGTCTTTGGAGTTGTGAGAACTCCAAAGTATAATTTTGGGGGATCCATTTATAACTTGTGGGCTGCAATAGAGACTGTTAAGAGGTACCTTAGGTAATTTGATCAAGTAGACTTCTCTAAGGAGTGACAAACTGAAGCCTCAGGGTTGATGACTGTCTAGAAAATTGCAGGAACAGTTCCTGTTGAGGGGGTTGCTACACACAAAAGTCACGAGAAAGAGCTTGGCGTGTAGCGGGTGCTGAAACAGTGTGGCTGTCCAGTACGAGCACAGTGTGAGAGTGGGTGGTCTGGAAGGAGTGTGTGTGGGCAGGGAGCCAGCAGGCACGGTCTCATTCAGAGGCCATGGGGGAAATGTGGGTTTTATTCTGTGTGCACTGGCTTTCTCATGGAGGTGGACTGCAGAGGGTAGAGGTCAGATGAAAGCAGGCCGTAAAGTCATTCAGATGAGAGAGATGGGCTGCCAGATGATGTTGATGGCAATAAGATGAAGAAAGGGTACATTTGAGGACTATTTTGCAGTTAGGACGAGTGGTTCTTGCTGGAGGGTTTCTATAATTCAGAATACGGCTGTAAAAAGTGCTATTACGGTATTGACAACAGGCATTCCTTAGTGTACTCGATGTTTTAAGCACTGACAAGCTATATACCCTCCAGTAAAAGGCAAACAGTGTATTAGGAGGTTTCAGTCATACATGGCATTAAGTTTGTTACCTTTGCTAAATTTAATTAAAATGATAGGTTTTTTTTTTTTTTGGTCACCACCACTTAAACACTTTCAGTCTATATGCACTATGTTAGTCCCTCATCCATGTGAATACTGTAAGATTAGTTACTTTCTGTTAAGTGACTCTTCGTACAGGTACAGTTGACCGGTTGAGGAGAGAATAGACTTAATTCAGACTGGCCAATCAGGATCATCCCTTGAAAATTTTAGAGCAAGAACTGAGAAAACCAGTGTATTAGCTTTTCAGTTGCTGGGACAAAAGACCCACAACTTACAGGAAGGCTTTATTTTGGCTTATAATTTCAGAGGTTTCAGTCCATGGTTGGCTGAGTCCAAGGCAAAGACATGAGGGAAGGGCATGACTGGGAAAGCTGCTCAACTCATGGCATCTGGAAAGCAGAGACCATGGGAAGAGCCAGAGAGGCTTATACCCATCCAGGTCACATTTTCAGTGACTCACCTGCTGCAACCAGGCCTCAGCTCCTAACAGTATATTCAGCTCTGAACTCATTAATGCAAAAGTGCATTGGATGTTAGTACTTCCAAAATGTAATCACTTCCAAGAGCACCACCTCTGAACACTCTGAACACCACCTCTGAACACTCCCCCTTTGGGGGAACTTTGGTCATCTAAAGTAAACCAGCCAGTCTCCCTCCAGTAAGATGCAGAGCCCAGAAGTTACCAGTGACTTTTTCAGCCCGAGTGCAAATAACATGAAATGCTTCAGAATGCTAATAGAAAATTATTAGAATTGTATGCTTAAAAATACTACCTTTCAAGAATATGAAATAGAGAGACTTTGGAAAAAAAAAGTTTTCACCTGTACACCTTTGTATTAGAACTTACTAAGGAAATAAGGAAAACAAATTATGAAAAAAGTGTTTTAATTTTGAAAAAATGCCAACAACCATTTATGAAAAATTAATATATGATGTGAGTACTTTAAATTTATTTGGCTGAAATATTGAAATAGTGGTAACTTACTGAAGTTTATAGTGACAACTTTGCTGAAGTTGTTAAGTATGTATATTAAAATTACTAGGATAACTACTTTAAAAAATACATTGGAAAGATTAGAAGTGGTTACAGTAAGGACATGTGGAAACGTAAAAAGTAGCTGTCTCTAAGTTTAAAAAAGGCTTGAAATCATGGAAGAGTCAGCATTTCAAAGATATCAGCTCTTCCCATTTTGACAAGTAGATTTGATGCAATTTCAATTCAAATCAGTTTTTCTTTCAGAATTTAACAATTTGATTCCTAAATCTCTTTGAAAACAAAACCTAGAGTTAGCAAGATGTTCAAGAGGAAAGAGGAAAAAGATGCAAGAAAAAGGATTTACCTTCAACTTAAGTAGTAATTATAAAAGTATGGTGTTGGGAAAGAAAAAAATTAATGCAGTGGAACAGAAAGATCAAAATAAACACATACATGTATGAAAACTTGAAACTTCCAGCTCATATAATCACGGGTGAGTGGGAGGATGTTGAGTGTGATGGTTAATTTCATATGCCAGTTTTGCTAAGGAATGTGCAGACCGCAGGTAAAACATCGTTTCAGGTTGTATTTCTGCCTGTTTCTCTAAGAGATTAACATCGGCTTGTTTTGTGTGTGTGTGTGTGTGTGTGTGTGTGTGTGTGTGTGTGTGTGTGTGTGTTTGTGATGCTGGGGATTGAATCCAGGGCCTCAGGCAAGCCAGGCAAATGCTCTACCACTGAACTACATCCTCAACCCTGTAAGATTAACACTTGAATGGGTAGACTTGAGTAAAGAAGCGGAATCTGCCCTCAGTGGTACATAGGCGTCATCCAATCCATTGAAAGCCCAGATAATACAAACATGAAGCTGGGTGTGGTGGCATACACCTGTAATCCCAGCACTCAGAAGGCTGAGGCAGGAGGATCGCTGCAAATTTGAGGCTACTGTGGGCTACATACTGAATTCAAGGAAAGCCTGAACTACATAGGGAGATTCTGTCTCAAAAACAAAACAAAATTCCACATATTTATAGGAAAATTGGAAATTAGGCAGCAGGTAAAAATTGATGTCACTTAAGAGAAAAATATGAATAGCCCATAAACAAGATACATATAAAAATTAAGGTCAAAATAAAATAACTACTTTATAATCATTATTGGGAGGAAATTCTGTCAAGGATATAAAATAATGTTGGCTGTAGTGTAAAATAACAGTAACTTTAGAAAACATCTTGTAAGTCTAAATGTGCTTACCTTCGTACTCCAGGATTTACTAGGTGTACACACTGACAGGGGACAGGTAAATGCATATACATCTATACAGTGATGTATTTTGTAGCAGTAAAAAGGAGCTATACACAGCTACATGCAAGCTTTCAACTTAGCAACATAGTTGAATGAAAAAATAAGCCACCAAAGAGTACACACAAAATGAAACACCATTTTTATGAGCCATAAAACCACCTCCTCTATTTTTCTACTGTCCCTCATCATCATCCCCATCCCCATCACCACCACCACCAGCATCATCATCAATGCTTGGGGACATTGGAGTGAAAATACAAAATGCAGCCTAAGGTTGTCCGGGCCAAGGGGGGAACCTGAGGTAGGGAGGCAGAGGGTGGAATCAGGGTGAGCTCAGAGTTGGCAATGTTCCATTCTTAATTTGGGAAGGAACACAAGTTTTCCTTTTTCACTTTTTTTTTTCATAATTTAAATTTCTTCATAGTATTGCTTTCATACATATGTAATTAAAAGTAATTATAGTGTGTTATTTGAAAGATGGGGTAAAGTGAATGCTGGTAATGGGGAACTTATAATATTTTTTGACAGCATCAATTTCAAACACTATGCACTTCAGATACTGGCTTTTTGTTTTTCATTTAACAGTATGTAGCTTTATTACTCTAAAATGTTGGATTTTCAGTTGGTATGAACGTTCCATAGTAGAAAACACGAAGCCAATTTTGTTCCAAGAAAATGTTCTTGAAAAAATGGTCACTAAGGAAATTGTAAAAAGGCCGCATGCTATACTGTGTCAAAATTGGGCTGTTTTCAAATGCATTATAGAAATTCTAGCTTTCAAATAGGAAATGTAATAAGGATTTCATTTACCAGGTGTGCTCATAAACCAATAAAAGTAGTTTTCTTATGTTGCTCATAAACTGAGACTAAAGATAATTTCAAGCCCAGGAGACAGTCCAAAAATTGTGTTGAGCAATGGCCACATGTTAGAATAAGACTTTTTATTCTCAAAGCCTGTATTTTGAGAAAACAGCATTTATTTGTGTACCTGGATAAGTTCTGAAATATTTTCTTAAATATTTTCTACAATGCATATGCATTAAAGTCTTTTATTTTCTGAACTTATTTTTAATGAATAATAGAAAATGTTCTGTA